GTTAAGAGGTGGGTCTTCAAGAGTTAAGAGGTGGGTCTTCAAGAGTTTAGAGGTTCGTCTTCAAGAGTTTAGAGTTGGGTCTTCAATAGTTCAGAGGTTCGTCTTCAAGAGTTTAGAGGTTCGTCTTCAATAGTTAAGAGGTTCGTCTTCAAGAGTTCAGATGTTCGTCTTCAAGAGTTTAGAAGTGGGTCTTCAAGAGTTTAGAGGTTCGTCTTCAAGAGTTTAGAGGTGGGTCTTCAAGAGTTTAGAGGTGGGTCTTCAAGAGTTAAGAGGTGGGTCTTCAAGAGTTAAGAGATGGGTCTTCAAGAGTTCAGAGGTTCGTCTTCTAGAGTTCAGAGGTTCGTCTTCTAGAGTTCAGAGGTTCGTCTTCAAGAGTTTAGAGGTGGGTCTTCAAGAGTTCAGAGGTTCGTCTTCAAGAGTTAAGAGGTTCGTCTTCTAGAGTTCAGAGGTTCGCCTTCAAGAGTTCAGAGGTGGGTCTACAAGAGTTAAGAGGTGGGTTTCTTAAGAGTTTAGAGGTTCGTCTTCAAGAGTTTAGAGTTGGGTTTTCAAGAGTTTAGAGGTTCGTCTTCAAGAGTTTAGAGGTTCGTCTTCAAGAGTTTAGAGGTTCGTCTTCAAGAGTTCAGAGGTTCGTCTTCAAGAGTTCAGAGGTGGGTCTTGTGGGCTAGCATCAGGGACTTGTAGGCTAGCATCAGGGACACTTGTAGGCTAGCATCAGGGACACTTGTAGGCTAGCATCAGGGACTTGTGGGCTAGCATCAGGGACTTGTAGGCTAGCATCAGGGACTTGTGGGCTAGCATCAGGGACTTGTAGGCTAGCATCAGGGACTTGTGGACTAGCATCAGGGACTTGTGGGCTAGCATTAGCACTTTGTAGGCTAGCATCAGGGACTTGAGTTTGATTCGAACAGCCAGAGGAAACCAGTGGAGTTCAATGAACAGAATCACTGATCTAATCCGGAGCTTTTTCTCAGGCGCTGTCCATGATTCTGGCTCGCCGTCTGTCCAAGGAGAGGCCAAACGACGGGGTGAGCATGTTTTTTAAATAATAATAATGATTTATTTAGTTGCACTGCTTTTATTTTATTGTAATCCGTTCTCTTCATAAGATACCGGAACCAGAATTTCCCTTATTATGGAAAAAATCTTTAAATGAGTGAGACAAAATTTCTTAATAATTAGAGAAGATCAATCTTGTCCAATAAAGGTGTTTTTTTTAAGTGTTAACACGATTCTTTAGTTGGAAACCTGAGAATAAACCAGAGTGGGTCAAAAGTATAAAAAATTACATTTATTTATAGACATGAATTACGATTGGCTAGGCTCCGTCAAATTAGGAGTAGAAGACGAAGTCAGCCGTCTTCCCTACTGGCAAACTCAAGCTGACTCCCGTTGCTAGGATACCGTAAACTTCCTGTCTAACGGGTTGTCAAAATAAAGGTCTCGCAAAAACATTTTTATAATAAAAGTAGCGGCTTATAGTCCGGAATTTACGGTAACTTAGTTTGGATAAAGGAAAGGAAAAGGCCACTCTGTTTATTATCAGTAACAAACAAAGAGATTCTGATTTACATCTCAGTCCTTAAGGGAAGTCCCATGGAGAATCTCCAAAAGGACAGGAAGTCAAATGAGTCCTTATTCCAAGTAGAGGCCAAACGAGGGAGATTTAAGCATAATATTCCCCTTTTTTTCCTCCATAACATGTATAGTGGCGAATGTTTGTCAAACCAAACATCCAAAAAAAAAAGGTTCCTGAAGTCACTAAGAGGCACTGGGGTCCAGTTTCTGTACGCAGGCAAAAGATTTCACATCCAAACTTGTTGATTATTCTTGAAGGTTTATTGGTTCTTTCTAGCAACAATTACAGAGTTCCAACTTTCCTTTGTTCCCATTCTGTTCTCTTGCTCTGATCTCTTGCTCTGGTAAAAACCATAGGCCCCAAACCCAAATGCCTTGCTGGTCCTTTACCAGGCCCCTATACTTATAGGAAAGTGGACTGGTCCTTTACCAGGCCCCTATACTTATAGAAAAGTGGACTGACCCACATGACCCACTTCCTGTCTAACTCAAAGAATGAATACGAAAAATAATAAGACAAGAAATTAAATAGAATCAACGATTATTAACCTGCAAATAAATACTGTAAATAATACAAAATATATACATTTAAGAATTAACTAACAAAATTCAAATGAATAAAGAAATAAAGAATAGATAGCTCCATAACGTGTTCATAAAGCTTCCCGGGTCCAGTAATAACTCCCCGGTGACCCGTGTGTTTCTCTAAATTCAGATCCTGCTGAACGCCTGCTGTCCCGGGTGGGTTCGCACAGACATGGCCGGCCCCAAAGCCCCAAAGTCTCCAGAAGAGGGCGCCATCACCCCGGTTTACCTCGCCCTGCTGCCGCCCGGCGCCGCCGAGCCTCATGGGAAATTTGTGTCCGATAAGGAGGTCCAGACCTGGTGAAAACCTGTGTTTTTGTGTGTTTTTATACCTGCAGAAAGCGAGAAAAAACAGGTTTAATGGGACCTGCTGCTTTAAACACAACAATATGTGGACACATACACTCAGAAAAAAAAGGATATTCGGCCTTAAGAGCTTTACATTTTCATATGTTATGTAAAAATTGTTAAGTTGCCTTAAATGGTTTAAAGCCAAATGCTCTGAAACGGATCAAATAAAATGTTTTTCTACAATTTTTTCGAGATATCGTGTTGACTTTACTTAAAAATGAGTTGAATTCTTGAAGAGGAGCGGGAAAAACGATGGAAAAAACAGGGGAAAAACGGAGGAAAGCTACAAAAAAACAGGTTTAATGGGGTCTGCTGCTTTAAACACAACAATATGTGGACGAATACTCAGACAAAAAAGGATATTCAGCCTTAAGAGCTTTACATTTTCATATGTTACGTAAAAATGATTAAGTTGCCTTAAATGGTTTGAAGCCAAATGCTCTGAAACGGATCAAATAAAATGTTTTTCTACAAGTTTGTCGAGACATTGTATTGGCTTTACTTCAAAATGAGTTGAATTCTTGGAGAAAAGCGGGAAAAACTGAGGAAAAATGGGGAAAAACTGAAGAAAAAGATGGGAAAGACAGGGAAAAACGGGGGAAAATGGGGAAAATCAGAGAAATTCTTGAAGAGGAGTGGGAAAAACGAAAGAAAAAACGGGGGAAAATGGGGAAAAACGGAGGAAAGCTACAGAGCTGCAGAAAGCTACAAAAAAAAGAAGTTTAATGGGGCCTGCTGCTTTAAACACAACAATATTTGAACACATACTCAGAAAAAAAAGGATATTCAGCCTTCAGAGCTTTACATTTTTCATATGTTACGTAAAAAAGATCAAGTTGCCTTAAAATGGTTTGAAGCCAAATGCTCTGAAACGGATCAAATAAAATGTTTTTCTACAAGTTTGTCGAGATATCGTGTTGACTTTACTTCAAAATTAATTGAATTCTTGAAGAGAAGCGGGAAAAAACAAGGAAAAACTGAGGAAAAAATGGGGAAAAACTAAGGAAAAAATGGGGAAAAACTGAGGAAAAACTGGGGAAAAACTGAGGTAAAAGATGGGAAAGACGGGAAAAACTGGGAAAAATTGGGAAAAACGGGAAAAATCGGGTAAAACCGGGAAAAATGGGGAAAAACTGTGAGCTAGGTGTGGATAAACCCACTCATGGGAGTGGAGACGGGACCAAAGTGGAGCCTTTCTCATCTGAAACCGGTTCAGTAAACATAAACTCTTCTGATTACAAACATCCTGTCCCGAAAGCAAGTCATCATGGGTGGAACCAGAGTCCATCCTCCTCTTTATTCCCCAAAAGTTAACCCTTTATTCCCCTCCCGGTGTCGTCTTCTCATCAAAAAACCCGAGCAGAGGAGGCTGAAACCATTAGAAAATATCACTTTTAATATAAAACATGAAGACATATCTGTCTCATAGCTTGTTGTTTATGTCTTTAAGCTCTGAATGGATCACAACAGAAGATAAAATAGGTAAAACGGCTCTAAAATCCAGCATTTTACAGAAGTAGCTGTTAGCTGGACGCCTGTCTCCGGGCAGAAATGAGCTGGGATTCCCAAAAGAGAGGAGATTTTACATCTCAGCACCACCTTTTTTTGATAAATAGCCAGAAAATGTTTCTTTTTTTCCCCTCATATGGAACATCTGTGTTTAAAAGCTCCTGGTGACTGTGATTCGTCCTGTTTCTGGTCAGAATCTGGACGTTGGATGGACATTTTCAGTGTTTTTTAGACACCAAAATGGGGCCAAACTTGCGTGCAGTGGCATGTTTTTTCTGGCCTCAAAGTCAGATTAATGTTGAAATAACTTAACCCTGTAATATCAAATGTATCATATTTGATACGGTTTCTGAAATGTTTTGTGTCCGACACCTTTTGCATAATTTAATGGTAAAAACTTTGCTCAAAATCCTATTGTACACAATCAGATACACCTGATAACAGGGGGCAGAAGACTACACAAAACATAATCTTGACTTATCGCATAGTAATAAATTATTGATATTAAAAATGTATTTCTGTTTTTTCTTTTTACATATTATAAGCGGTATTGATAATGGATGGATGGATGTTAAAAGGCCAAATAAGGAATTCAAACGAATAAAGAGTCATTTTCTGTTTTGTTTTATTCTTGGATCAGGCTTTAAAGGGTTAATTCTGCACACCACCGCCCTAAAATACAAAAGGCCTAACCCTAACCGTAATCCTAACCGTAACCCTCCTGAAGAGGAAACCGGCAGAACCTGTCCCAGTGACTGACCAGAGTCTGAACCATGTTTAGTTTAAATAAAAAAAACACCAGCAAACGCCTGATGAATCGGTGTTCAGCTTTGGTTCATTTCAGCTCCCTGCAGAACGATTTGTGTCTTAAACAACAGAAAAGAAAGAAGCTGAACGGGTAAATAATGGTTGTTTTCTTGTGGTTCCAGCTGGCTGAGTGACTCAGCAAATTTAAATAAAGCAACTCAGAATTTGTCTGGTGTTATTTACTTCATTCATTTTCATTTTAATTTTAAAGAGAAACAGGTACATTAGTCCGATAAAGGTAAAAGGGGTTTACGACCTAATACAACAAAAAAGAACACATAGAAACTAGGGGTGGGACGGTTCACAAAATCCACGGTTCGGTTCGTTTCACGGTTTCGTGGTCACGGTTTTCGGTTCGGTTCGGTATATGGTGATTGTTAGGAAAATCTATTATGTCTTGTATAGCCAGGTTAAAACTAAGAATGGGGATCGTTAATATTTATTGATATCGATACTTTTATCGATACTCCTTATCGATCCGAGTCTTTATCGATACCACTATCGATAATTTTCTGTTATTTGGTGGAAAGACGATGCAACAATATTTAACAAATAAATAATTGTATTTTAAATTAAATGTAATTTTTAATAAATGTTGGCATCATTAGTTTAATTATATATTCTAAAAATAATTAGAGCAATATACAACTGTATTACTCATGTTTCTCGCCAAAAACTCAATTTCCCTTTTCTTTACGTTACACTTGAACGCATCATGATAACCTAATTGTCGTTTTACTGAGCCAACCTGAACCCATCATCACGCAGCACGTCTGAAACTTTATTTACTTTTCAAGCTAACTAGCTTGTATGCTGCCGATTACAACACAGATTTCACAATTACTATTGTAATAAAAAAAAAAACGACCAGACTCGATAGTGGTATCGATAAGCCCAAACGTTATTGATTTGGGGGTTTTGAAAAAAGTGGAACCAGGTCCTTGATAGAACCGGGTTTCGATCCCCATCCCTAGTAAAAACTGAAAGAAAAAAGCAGTCTGACATTTGATCCATTATTGTGACAGTCTTAGGTTAAAAGTAGGTGAGATTATGGCATTGCCAGAGAGGAAATAGTGCTAATTCCAACATGTGCTTCCCTCTAAACGCAAACTGGTCCCATACAGCAGACCTAGAAACTGCTGTTTATCTGCTACACTGCTTCTTCTTCTTCTTGTTTCCTACTGGTGGTTGACTTTGGGCGCAGTAGCGCCCCCTTCTGCTCTGGAGTGAACACGCTTCCCTCTGAGAAAAAGGAGCAGTGCATGAACCGTGCGGTACACACGCGAACCGAACCGAGACAGTCGAACCGAACGGTTCAGACGGTTTTCAGAAACCGTCCCATCCCTAATAGAAACAAAACAAAACAACAAAAAAAAGCTTGGATCTTTACAGAAATACTTACTTAATTAATACTTAACGAAATAATTACTTAATTAATATCAAGGGAAAGTCCACATTAAGGTGAGTGCATCCAACTGCAAAATGGCCGTATTAATTCATTAAATTAAATTATTTCTGCAAAATGGCCGTATTAATTAATTAAATTATTTCTGCAAAATGTCCGTATTACTTAGTTAAATTATTTTATTTCTAACCTTTTCTGTTGATAAATAAGGCTAATTACAAGCAGTTAAATGATGAAGAGGGCTGGACTCCGCTCGGGTGCACTGCGCATGCGCAGAGCTCCTTTCCGTAGTTCGCCTCCTCTGAGCCAAATACATAAATACGTATAAATACTTATATGTCTATCTCTATACTCGGAGCCTTTTTGAGCAGCTTTCAGTCAGATTTCACCTCCAACCGGACCTGAACATCTCCTAGAAAGTAAGAAAAACTCCGTTTCACCTCCTTCTGTCAGCGGTTTAATCCCCTGAGACGGTTTCCTCAATTAGTCGAAAAGTGGCGAAAGTAAGTAGTTTTATTTTTTTATTTCTTATTAAATATGATCATCCAAGTCTTTTTCGTTTTTTTAAAACAAGGACCAATTGAAAAAATAAGTTTTACTCAGCCTTTTTCGTTATGTTTGATTAACTCTGCTCAATTTAACATGGAGTCAAATGAGTCAGATTAAACAACATAACTTTTTATTTCTAATAGAAAGCCAGTTTATTTCTTTGGTTTTTTTTTTATCCACGAAAGCTGGAGGATAAGACACTTATCACAGAATGAGAAGTAAATCAAATCAGCCTTGGCTTCATATTTCTGTCTAGAAAGTGTTTGTACAGTCCAGAAAAAAAGGTTTAAATGTACAAAGATAAAAAAGTTTCTTTTAAACAATAAAACAAAAAAAGTATCACCCGGAATAGGAAAATATGTCGATTACAATGTAAAAAACACCCCAAACCAGAAGATTTTTATATTTTAAAATGCAAGAAAAGAACACTTTTACAGGTATTTTCACTAATAATACAGATGTTTTCTCTCATCCTGGATTATTTTCTGGGATTATCCTGAACAAACTACTTTATAGAAGCCCTAATCTCACAACAATCAGCTCAGTGCTGATGTTTGAACCTCAAATCTGTGATTTTTAAAGTTATATTTAACGAGAGAAAAGTCATTAAAGCTTAAAACTGTGTCCTCACTTTTCAGAGACAGTTTCTCCCAGTTTTTCTGATTATGTTATGCTCATATTTGATATTTTTGTTAAAAGTTGTCATCATGACTCGGCACATCTCATCCTTTTTGACATCGTTTGCTCCCTCTGTGGTCAGATGTCAACCAGGGTTGCCGTGGTAACCGGAGGCAACAAGGGCCTGGGCCTGGCCATCGTCCGGGCGCTCTGCGGCCAGTTCCAGGGGGACGTTTACCTGACGGCCAGGGACTAGTAGGTGGACCACCGTACACCTCCACAGACCGTTTCCTTTCACAGCTCGGCCTTATTTTAATTATTTTGACATCAAACAACTCAAAACCTGAAGCAACCAGGCCCCCAGTCACATCATTCCTGAGCATCACTTTGATTAAACTCATGAAAACTTCAATGAAAGCACCTTAAAACAATTATATTGAGAAGTTAATCCTCTTTTCACTGCTCTTTTAGACTTTTTAGAACAGGATCAAAAGCTTTAAACAGCCAAGTGTGGCTCCCTCTGCTGGTCAGATGGGGGAATTGCATGTAGTTTCACACTTAAATCGGCCTTTTCTCATTTATACTGTGATTTTTTCTAGTCTTTACCAATTAAGCACGTGCTTTCATGTGTGTAAAAAAAAAACACAATCTTCCCTGTTTTTTAGGTTAATAAAGTGGATATGTCACAGGATAAAAAGCCTTAAACAGCTACGTGTGGCTCCCTCTAGTGGTCAGATGGGGGAATTGCATGTAGTTTCACACTTAAATCGGCCTTTTCTCATTAATAATGTTACTTTTTCTAGTCTTTGCCAATTAAGCACGTGTTTTCATGTGTGTCCGAAAAAAACACGATCTTCCCTGTTTTTTAAGGTCAATTAAGTGGATGTGTCACAGGATTTGATAGTTATAATTCAAACTAATTAGTTAATCACTGTGAAATAAAGATTGATCTTTATTTTTTTAAACCAAAGGATAAAGTAATTTAGTCTGTTTAGTCTCTGTTTCCTTTGATGGACTGGTAGCTCCAGGCAACTCATAAATGGGAGAATGGACACTCGCTTTATTGTTTTTTCTCATTTACGAACGTAGAATATTACATTCAAACCGATTGACCCTTTTGTGGTGTCTTTTCAGCGGGCGCGGTCAGGAGGCCGTGGAGGCTCTGGCCAAAGAGGGTCTGAAGTCCTTTTTCCAGCAGCTGGACATCGACGACCTGAGCAGCATCACCACGGCCGCCGCGTTCTTCAGAGAGAAATACGGAGGGGTGGACGTGCTCATCAACAACGCCGGGATCGCCTTCAAAAGTAACTAAACTAACAAAACAAAACAAAACAAACAGAGACATACAGTGGGGGAAATACTGTAAGTATTTGACCCCTTGCTGATTTTGCAGGTTTGCCCACTTACAAAGAATGCTTATTTTTCCTCATCAGATGGTTAGCAATTTTTATAAATTCACATGATGTGATTTTCTGGAATTTTCTTTGTGATTCTGTCTTTCACTGTTAGGATGTGCATATGATTAAAGTTATTGATTGTTGTATTCTTTGTAAGTGGGCAAACCTGCAAAATCAGCAAGGGCTCAAATACTTATTTCCCCCACTGTATGAGGGCTAACCCACTTTAGATGGAATATTAGTGTTTTAGACGGGTGTTTTTTCACCTAAACTACTCAAATCTGATTATTTTTACTTTTCAAAATGGTGAATATCCTTTTTTTAAAACAAGAAATAATTAAATTGTTCAAAATATAACAACAGATGAGATGAATAGTGTGATTATTGGGGCTTTACTGACATCTAACGTAGACTTAGACTTAGACTTAGACAGTACTTTATTGATTCCTTGGGAAGACTCCCTCAGGAAATTAAGGTTACCAGCAGCAAAAAAAGTATTAAGCTAAATTAAATTAAATTAAGCAAAAATAAATAAATACAAAATACAAAGAATACAGATTAAGTACAGTGTATATGATAGGAGTTGTGTGTATGTAATTGTATTGTGTGTATGGATTGCCTGTGTCTCATTTGCATTTAAAGAGACAGGCACTCCAAAGCGAGCGCTCTGAACGGGGCTGTTTTGGGTTAGGGTTAGGGTTAGGGTTAGGGTTAGGGTTAGGGTTAGGCAGGGGGACTGAACTGCTATTGGGCTTCATCCTTATGGGATTCTGACCAAAGCTTGTCACAGACATTACATTAGGACACCAGGGAACTAGTTTAACTTGTTGAAATAGGGTATAGCATGTCTCCTTTAAGCACATTCGCTGCTTAGAAAACCCATCAGTCCTTATCCCACATTCATGATAGGGGTTGTTAAATAATTTCCCCCTGGGATTATTAAAGTATTTCTGATTCTGATTCTGATTCTGTTTTGTCAGAGATTGTGTGAAGACAGTGGCATAAACTGGAGTTTTGGACCATCATATCTTTCTCTTCCTCCTCTTCTCTTCTTCTTCTTCAGATGCTGACACCACCCCGTTTGCCGTCCAGGCCGAGGTCACCCTGAAGACCAACTTCTTCTCCACCAGAGACGTGCTGACTCACTTCCTGCCGCTCGTCAAAGCCGGAGGTACCGGAGATATATCCAACCCCGCCCACATCCAAGTCGGCCATTTTGATTAGGTCACCAATAGGTAGATCCCAGGCAAGAAAATTCTAATTGCTTCATGGCAATAGTGAAATGAATCTTGCAAACATTGAATTAAACTCTATACATAATATTATGTTAAAATAGAGTATGTTAAATAGGTTTGTAGATAGATAGATAGATAGATAGATAGATAGATAGATAGATAGATAGGGTCAGTGTTAGGTTTAGGTTTAGGATAAGGTTAGGGTTAGGGTCAGGGTTATAGACAATAAAGTTTCGTTTCCACCTCAGAAAGCTGCTAGTCACATGACCTAATCAAAATGGCCGACTTGGATGTGGGAGGAGTTGAATATCCAGCCGAGCCGGAGTGATAATTAGCAGTGTTACTTTAACCGCGGCGCTCAATTAAAAGGACTAACTATCCTAACTTACTGAAGAAGTAGCTAGCTAAATATCCAAAACCCACACTGGCTAATGCAGCCGCCATTTTGAATACTCAGGCTGGAATACAACCAGGAAGGTTTTCAGCCGCCTACAAACTAACTCCTGAGTTTGTGCTTTAGACCTGGAAAATAAAGCCAGAGATATGTTTAAAAAGCTGCTCCGGCAGAGGGCAAGTATTAGATTGACATTTATTTGATATTAAATGTTAACTGTTTATAGTTTTATCCCTTTCACACTTCTCTTAAAAAAAAATCTCAGCTCTCCTCCTCCCAGGTGTGCCGGGGGGTGAACAGACTTTAGGGCAGCGGCACCCGCCTTTTTCTACACACATCTTTAATCTTCTTGGCCCTTAATGTTCATCTTATCACTGTGGAGATTTAGAAATGGTCACTTTTGTTTACAGTCAGAATCAGGATTGGGAAAAAAACAAGGCGTTTGATGTAAAATGTTTTCAAATAGCCACTGTAAAATGAAAAATCCTCCAAATCCTCCAAAGAGTTTGGAAAACCTGCCGGACCCTGAACGACAGCCTGTTTGGACTAGGGATGTCTGAAAAGCATTGTTTGCTATCACATGATCTATGCATATTATTGATTGTTTCATTTTATATTATACCTATAGTTTGTATTGAAGTTTCTGGCTTGTTCTCTCTTTTCTTTCTATCCTTTTTCTCTGTTGCATTAGATCCACGTCTTTAAGTCAACACACACACACACATTATTTGGTACCACATTCCAATGTCATCAACATGAATTTACAATCCGGCTTGTTAGTCTTAGAGGTAACTAACCAATAGGACTTGGTTGTGTCCAGTCCTCCTTTTGAGGGGTGTGCCTATAAGGAGACAAAGACCCATCACCCCCAGATCTCAGGGCTCTTTGCCGACTGAGACCCTGAGAAAGGTTTCCTCTGTGAAGAACCCAGCGCTGAAATACTTTACCTGTGACCCAATAAATGTCAACTTTTTACTCTTGATCTACTCTGGGCGGCACGGTGGTGTGGTGGTTAGCACTGTCGCCTCCCAGCAAGAAGGTTCTGGGTTCGAATCCCGGGGGAACCAGGACCTTTCTGGGTGGAGTTTGCATGTTCTCCCTGTGTCTGTGGGTTCTCTCCGGGTTCTCCGGCTTCCTCCCACAGTCCAAAAACCTGCATGTTAGGTTGTTGGAGATTGGGGAAATTGCCCTTAGGAGTGAATGTGAGTGTGAGTGGTTGTTGGTCCTTGTGTGTCTCTGTGTGTGGCCCTGCGATTGACTGGCGGACTGTCCAGGGTGACCCTGCCTCTCGCCCGTTGACCACTGGGATAGGTTTTCCCCATCAGGGAATAAGCGGTATTGATAATGGATGGATGGATCTACTCTGGTTTATTCTCAGGTTTCCAACTAAAGAATCGGGTTTACAGTTTCAAAAAGGTTGGTGACCCCTGTGCTATAAAGATAAACCTTTCCTTGCCTTTTTTCCAGGCCGGGTGGTGAACGTGTCCAGCTTCGTGGGCGGCCAGACTTTAGGGCAGAGTTGGATATGTACTTGATTAACGGTAGCACGTTATTATTAGCCATTAGTCGAAGCTAGCAGTTCAAGGCTAACGTCTTGTTAATGACCATAAACAACGTAAAAAAATACATAAATAAATCTGAGAGAAAGGGGGGGGTATGGATACTTTTGAAAATGAGTATCGTATCCGGATACAACATTTTGGTATCGGTAAAAAAATTTTCCTGATGAAAGAAGAGAGTGTACTCTTTCTTTTGGTGTGTTCGGTGTTTACATAGTCATAGCACAAACTATTCTGTGGCTCTTGAAAAATCAGTCAAAACGCTAAAAAAAACTCTGGCAGTATGGGACTCTCTGTTCGGAAAATGGCTGCCAGTCAATGAGTTCAATTCTCTCTGAAGCTATTGTCTTGTACACGAAATGTGCTATAGAAATAACCTTTCCTCGCCTTTCCCCAGGCCGGGTGGTGAACGTGTCCAGCTTCGTGGGCGTGCGCACGCTGAACGGCTGCAGCCCGGAGCTGCAGCAGCGTTTCCGCAGCCCGGAGCTGGGCGAGGAGCAGCTGCTGGCGCTGATGCAGAGCTTCGTGGAGCAGGCCCAGCGGGGCGAGCACCTGCAGAACGGCTGGCCCCAGACGGCCTACGGAGTCTCCAAGACCGGCCTCACGGTAGGGGGGTCGCCGTGGTAACGTGTTCAACTCCACACCGATACTCAGGAAAATGTTTGATACCACAAGGATAAAAACAAAGACCCCAAAATGTTAGAGTCTTTGGTTTCAAACTGACCTGTTACTGATGTTAACTAACCCTAACCCTAATCCTAACCTTAACTTTAACCCTAACCCTAACCCAAGACCGGCCTCACGGTGAGACCGATCCGCGGAAAACTGCCTCAAAGAGGTCAAATCAAATTCAGAATCAGAATCAGAATCAGAAATACTTTAATAATCCCAGAGGGAAATTATTTTTGTTACAGGCTCCATAAGCAAAACAAAGGCATATACATTAGGGATGCAAACGGTTAATCGACTTTAGATTAATTGTCGATCAAGAGGTTGCTCGATCAAAATGTATTAATCACGATTAACCGCTAGAGGGTGCTAGCGCTTTACTGTAACTTGAACACAGCGTTAGAACGAGAACACGCCTCGTGTCGCGAGAGAGACCAGAAAACAAAATGAAGCGGGCGAAAAGAAGTGCGGTGTGTGACCACTTCAATATTGTTAATTCAGGCAAAGAAGGTTGTCATAGCGACTGTCCGCGACCACAAAAACAAGAACGTTGGGGCGTTAGCCAGCTAGCTCGCTAGCATAGCCACCTGTCCGTTAGCATTAGCATCAGCCGGAGAGATGATAGCGCTCATCAACAAACTGCTGGACTGGTTCAGTCCAGCAATTTGTTGATGAGCGCTATCATGCAAGAACTGAGCCAGGGTTGTCTTTTAATTAAAGATTTTGTTTTACCTTAAATACGTGTCTGCTTTCTTCTCCTAATGCATAATTACTTGAGGAATGTATAATATAATACAATATAATTATGGTATCATAATGTTGGCTAATGTAATATAATACCTCAATTATATTAAGGCCCTATTGAAGCCCTGAAACTCAGGTGAAAAACGCCGCTTATCAATTAATCGAAAGTCGATCGATAAGATAATCAACTAACGATTAATGAATTAATCGATAATTTGCATCCCTAATATACATATGAACATGTCTATACATATATACATATATATATACAAAATTCCTCATAAATATAGCTAGATATATACATAAAAAACAATATGTGTATATGTAGGTCAAAATGAGAGGTGGATAGTGTCAATGATTAAGATTGACTCTCAGAGGGAGGCGTTGTACAGATTTATGACCACCGGCAGGAAGGATTTCCGGTGGCGCTCTGTGGTGCATTTGGGTGAGAGGAGTCTTCTGCTGAAGGAGCTCCTCTGTTGGGGTTAGGGTTAGGGTTAGGGTTAGGGTTAGGGTTTGGTTCACACTGGACCAGTGTGTCGTAGAGGGGGTGAGACACATTGTCCAAGATGGACTTAAGCCTGGACAGCATCCTCCTCTCCGCCACGGTCGACAGAGTGTCCAGCTCCTCCCCTACAACATCGATACCGATACTCAGGAAAATATCAGATACCACAAGGATAAAAACAAAGACCCCAAAATTGAACTGAATTTTGACAAGTTAGTCTTTCAAACTGACCTGTTACTGATGTTAACTAACCCTAATCCTAACTCTAATCCTAACTCTAATCCTGACCCTAAACTTAAACCTAACCCTACGGTGTGTCCAAAACCGGCCTCACGGTGAGACCGATCCGTGGAAAACTTCCCGGAAAAAGTCAAATCAAACTGGACGATTTCATTTGAACTCACTGATCTAATCCGGAGCTTTTTCTCAGGCGCTGTCCATGATTCTGGCTCGCCGTCTGTCCAAGGAGAGGCCAAATGACGGGGTGAGCACGTTTCTTTTTACAATAAATATTTATTTAGTATTTGATTTATTTAGTATTTAGTCCAACAAAGAACCAAAAAAAAAAAAGAGACGACTCTGTAACAATCCCCCTGATCCAAGTCAGAAGAAAATGTCTATAGACGTCTTTTATGTTTTTCAACGAGAGTGTCTGGGGGACGATCTGCTAAAGCTTGTCCGTAAATATCAGGCTTCCAGACAGAGTATGTAGTAACAAATTGACCCTCTAGGGGGCAGTGCCACTTTTGATGGGAGATGAGCATAGACTGTAGGCAAATAAGAAAAAGGTAACGGTTCTATGAGAGAACATGTCGCCGGTGAGACGCAAGTCCAGGAAGAACGGAATATGGTAGAAACTATTTTTTGTTAGAGTTAGGGTTAAGGTTAGGGTTAAGGTTAGGGTTAAGGTTAGGTTAGGTTAGGGTTAGGGTTTGGTTAGGGTTAGGTTAGGGTTAGGTTAGGGTTTGGTTAAGTTAGGTTTAGGGTTAGAGTTAGGTAAGGGTTAGGTTAGGGTTTGGGTCAGGGTTAGGGTTAGGTTAATTTAGGTTAGGGTCAGGGTTAGGTTAGGATTAAGTCAGGGTTAGGTTAGGGTTAAGGTTAGGGAATAAGCCAATCAACTAATCTCATGTTAAAAGAAGAGCAGCTGTTTTTTTACAATGGAAAAAAGTCTCTTTCATACTCTGGATACCTTTTTATTTTTATGTAACTCTGAAACTGAAATATATTGAGTCTAACTCTAAGTCTTCTCCACCTGGACTAACCTAGTGATTTCCTCCCTCAGATCCTGCTGAACGCCTGCTGTCCCGGGTGGGTGGGGACAGAAATGGGGGGCAGCAGTGCCCCAAAGTCTCCAGAAGAGGGCGCCATCACCCCGGTTTACCTCGCCCTGCTGCCGCCCGGCGCCGCCGAGCCTCATGGGAAATTTGTGTCCGATAAGGAGGTCCAGACCTGGTGATGGTTGGTGGGTTTTCACCCCCCAGGAGTGAAACAAGCCAGTCAACTAGTCTAATTTAAAAAGAAGAGTTTTTTACTATGGAAAATAAGTCTCTTTCATACTCTAGATACCTTTTTAAAAAAAAAAAAATGTAAATCTGAAAGTGAAATATATGGCAAACACTTCCAGAAAATTGAGCATTGTGTTAGGG